AAAGAAAGAAAGATGGAAAATTCTTTATCACCAAAACATTTTCAGCTCACTATCTTTAAAGCAACAGTAACATAACAATTCAAAATATATCCCCCAACTATGAACGATCTCAACCAGCACAAGCGAAGGATGAATCTACCACAAGGACGTTTCCCCGTCGAGAAAGTTCTTTCTGGCTCAGTCGTGGTGCAGATCACCAGCCTCTCCACTGTAAATAGCTCCCCACCGCGCGAAAGGCACAGAACAAGAGCTGAAATTATAATGGGACTGACCTATGCACACATTCTCATCGTCCAGCTGTGCGGAAGCATTTCTGAAGTAGCCCAGCCTGCACAACTCACAGTGCTGCCCTCTAGTGTTGTGTTTACAGCTCACGCAAATGACTGTGTTTAGCAGATCGATATAACTGCACCGATTGGAGTGGCCGAAGCATTCACAGTCTTGCAAGGAAGAACAGAAATGTATACAGAGTGTATACGGCAGCAGAGTAATAAGCACACTACATGCTTGGGTCACATGAGGAGTGGAAGAAAGATGGCGGACCGGCATCACATGTACGCGCGACTCCACAGGACACATGGCGGGCGCAGGTGGCTGTGATTGGCATGGAGGTAGCATCCGTTTCAAGCAGGACAGAAAGGTCGAACATTCAGAACAGGACTGGAGAGTGAGGATTCTTGGCAGACGAGATGAACAGAAGCATTTGCAGGTGCACACCTTTTCATGTTTGGGAAGGACTGGTTCCCATTAATGCAAAAATCTAATTTTTGCACACTGAGAACTTTGCTGTCCCTGCATCCCTTCCCCCGTTTTCTCTTCTAATGAGCATCTTACAAAAGAGGCTGGGAGGTGTGTGAGGCTTAAGACCTGAGCCTGCCACTGCCCACGGCCCCCTGGTTTAGGGTCTCGCCATCAATTATGCCAAGGGGGTAACCCGGCCAGGGCTTCACAGAAACCATGGCCAATTTAATAGGCGTCTAGACAACGGCACATTCTTTATTTGTGCTGTGGTCCCAAATGCTAAGAGGAAGGATGGCCTTGGAAAGCCTTTCTCACGAGGCTACATCTGCATGTTTGTTTCTGTGTGAGAGAAAACATAAAAGGTAGGGAGGTTATGTGTGTAAAAGGGGCTCTTCAGATTTCTTTCCCCCACCCCGAGTTTCAAGCTAAGTCAGCTACGAAAGGAAGATCAGGCGGCTACTCTGTCCCCATATTTTTTCCCCTTTGTCTCCTTAAAATGTTGGAAGTGCCTCTGAAGCTTAGGGGTGACAATGATAAGAACTGGACAAGGAGATGGAGAAGAGAGGATGACAGCAGGGGAAGGGTATGGAGTGACTGGATCTTTTTTCTCTGTTGCATCTCAACCAAAGCAAGAAGTTGTTAATCTAGTTCCATCTTTTAAAAGAACTGGTAAAGACAAAACCTTTGTGGGTAGCAATATCAAATCATACCCCCCCACCAAAAAGTGAGGATAACAAGGTGGGGAATCTAACTTGTCTTCTCAAAATATGGGAGTAGACTTAGCTAGGCATGTTAGGGGAAGGTCAACCATGATACTGCAAACCTTGTTTATCTAAAAATACTCTTTTTATCTCCAGTGTTTATTTTAGCTCGCTAGGAAGCCACACACAGTCACAGTCTGAGTCTACTCATTCATCCACTCATGCATACATGCCTCCATCCCACTCATGCATGCATACCTTTATCCACTCATGCACACATGCCTTCATATATTCAGTAGATACTTTATTGGGTCGGTCTACCCGGTACCAGGTACCTTGCAAGGTGCTGAGTTACCCTTTTGGCCTAGATAAAATTTTGGAAGTACTGCACTTAATGCCCTGAGTAAAAAAGAATAAGCATCACCAAACATGAACAAGGAAGGGAGACTGGCCTTATATTCTGCTTTTTTAAAAAATTAACCTGCTGCTACCCATCAGGAGGACATGGATTCAGGTACCGGAGAGCTAGCTCATGGACAGAGAGCCTCTGTGCTGCTCGGCCGACACACCCAGCATTTGCCCGGCACCTCTCACCTCGCTGTTACCTCTGTCCAGAACACCCCTCCCTATGACCTGCTTCCTCACTGTTTTCCGTGCTCTGCTCAAAGACAACTCTGTGACTGCTCTATCTGAAGTAACAACCCCAATCCCAAACACACTAAGCCCCCAACTGCCCAGGCCTGTTTAATTTTTTCCATAGAATTATACTACCCAAAAATTACATTTAGGAAGAGACCTTCCCCATACCCTGATTGTAAACACATGCGCGCAGACCGCGTCTGTTTTGCGCACGGTTCAAGCCACACGCTCAGACCATCACCTGGCGCAGATTAAACAATCAAAGGTTGCCAGGTGGGTGAATCAGTGAATCAGTGATGGTGCTGAGGCACTCTGCTTTGGGAGACAGAGGAAAATTACGTTTCCTTTCATTTCTCTACCATTCCGATTCTGTAAGAGTCCACCTACATCCTACGTAGTAAAGGGTTTAGAAAAACCACAGCCAGACAAGATAGAACTGAATTAGTGATTATTTTAGCAGGGAGTTGACTGTATGTCTACGCAGGTCAATTTGGGCAGGAAAAAGCCGGTTTCTGAAAATTGCTGTGGTTTTTTAAAATGTAATTTTTTATCTCAAATTGCATGGTAGACTATACATATTTTTTTGCAGGTATATTTGAATTACTGTTGTGCACACACCCCTTGCTATGGCTTCACAAACACACCGGCGTGGCATGCCACAGAAGATACCGTTACCCCCTTTGCTGAGAAGCACCATCTGCTAGAGGACAACGTGAAGGACGCCCCGTCCCTCCAAGTCCCAGACGGGGTGTCTCAGCCTTGGCACTACTGACATTTGGGGCCAAACAATTCCTTGTTGTCCTGTTTATTACAGGATATTTCAGAAGCATCTCTGGCCTCTACCCCCAAGCTGTGACAACCAAAACCTCCTTGGGGGACAAAATCCTCCATAAGACATATGTGAGATCGTATAAGGCAGTTATGCTAATCGGTACTTAATGACTGGCTGGTCTTGGCAATGAAAGCCGGAAGGTGTCGGAAGAGCGCTTGTTCAAAGTTGGCTAACCTCTCCGAAGGCTTAGAAGCTCTGAGATTGAGTGGGGAAGGCCCTGGGCAGGCAGGAGTCCCAGGAAAACAAAAGGTTGGAGAGAGAGAGTACTGAGGAAAAAGGATGCTAGGAAGAGGAAGGGGTTCAATGTCCCCTTGGTGCCTTCCTTCTTACTGGTCCCCACGTGGCTTTCAATGACATTATTATGTCACCTGTGTCAATGTAAGACAAAGTGCTCGCAACGTGGCCCAGAGAAATTTTTTTGCCTAATGAGGAAAGCTTATTTAACGTTAGCACTGGAGAAAATTCACTGTAGATGCTCCGAAAGAAAGGGTTTAGGAAAATGACTTTAGGTAGATAGAGGGTGAATGAATCATCACTCTAGAGATACATTCCCGTCGCCGAGTTAGCAGAGTCGCCCTGCCTCCAAAGGGCCCTTCCCGTGGGCCTGGTCCTTTAACCCAATCCCAACCCCACCTTGCTACTTGTCGTGGGCTGCGAAGCTCTTCCAAATGCATCACTGGGTGACCAGGTGCGATAATTCTACCTCGCTGGGTGGCTTCTTCCTGTCTCCAGAGATGTGTTTGAGCCTTACCATGGCTGTGACACCCAGAAACCAGAGGCTCAATGAGGGAGGGTCTAATTTCAGGTCAAGGGGCCTCTGGTTTTTCCAGTGTGTTTGGCATGGCATGAAAGAGAGGGGTTATGTGACGGTCTCCGCCGCTTCTTTTCTCTGTTACCTCCCTGGCTTTGTAGACCCACACACGGTGGGTGAGGAGAGATGTCCCCCTGTGGCCCTGTGGCTGCCTTCTGACCTGTGCCCACGCCCCGTTAGGCTTCATAGCCTGGCCGGGGGCTGCTCCGCTCTGAAGGAACTTTGGTTCCTACAGTTCAGATCCGTTCGGAAACCCCTCGAAGGGTGTGGTCGGTATGTAAGCTTGCATCAGGAGGGGGGAGGAAGATGTGGTGTCGATACTATCGTTTTCGCCTGTCCCATGTTCTGACCCATTTCCTCCTTTTCTCTATATGCCACAGAAGGACCAATTCAACGTTAAATAAGATCTGGAAACTAGTTCGACTGTATTCGACAAAGAATAGGGAAGCCATGGTGATCGTGTTCACCAAGTAGTTCAAACTAAATTCAGACTTTGTTAGTAATTAACTGGTAAGAGGTGTTTCCTTACAAAAAAAGAAAAAAAACCCCATAATATCTGCCCACTTGTCCTGGGTGGAAAACAAGATGCATCGGTCACATAGGAAGGATGTTTAAAAGAAAAAGGTGAAACAAAAACAGAGTTCGTTCAGCTTCCTGAAAAATCTTCATTCTGTGAATGACAGCTGTGAGCTGGAATGGGCCAGTCGTGAGTCAAAGATGAGACACGCTGGCTTTCATGTAAAGAACGTAACATAATTATTATTTCTGGGTCATGATCAGTGCTTAACCCACTACCGATCTCCACTAGTATTTGTCCCAATTCACTTCAAATAATGTTTGGAAGTAGAAATTCCAAGGGACTTTGTTTGTTCCAATGTCACAGGGCACCGCATCCAGAACCTGCCATTCTGGTTGCGTGACAAGCTTCCTGGAAACTCAAAGTGAGTTTCCATATTTTCAGTGCAAAGGAATCCCTGCGTTAATACTCTAGCATTTGGGTTCAACAGGAACCTGAACGGTTATAACTCTTACCCACACATGAATCTTTCAGAAAACAAATGGTGCAGCATTGTTAATTCGCAGCCACTTTCTCCATTTTTTGTCTTTCTCTCACAGATGACATTTCCGGTATTATCAGATGCATTGGTCAGTACCAGTCAACATGCCTCACCAAGAAGCTTATGGGCACACTTCACAGATAGTCCAGATTCATACAGTGCAATGTTTTACAACACATAACACCATGAAATCACTGTATGAATCCAAGAATTCCTACCTCTCTTGTGGTTTGCAACTTGAACAGAAGAAACTGTTGACAAAGCTACTTTGGGAGCAACTGGATAGGTTTAAAAAAACGAACAGCACATTAGAAACAATGATGACAGGTTCGCACTGCAATAACTCATCATCAACCCACTTGAAAAGTAGCCCTAAATCAAGAGACTGTTTGTGTCTGTTCTTGCTGAGAGTTTGTTTCAGTCACAAAGGGATTCCTCCTTCCATTTGGCTGGAAGGGGTTTAACGTGGTCGGAAATGAAGTTTGGAAGCTTTGTTTTCAGGGGCAAGAATAATGACCACTTCAGTGAAGAATCCAGGTGTGAGGAGATGACTTGAATAATGATATATGCATCCTAGGAGTCCCTCCTGTCCCTCTCCGAAAACTAGTTTGTGTCGCTGGGTTCATCAGCTGCGTCACTGCCTCAGGTCACCAGGCTATTCCCGCTGTGTGACCGCAAGCTCATCTACACATAAACCAGTTAAGCCTGTTTCTGTAGAACTGGTCAGGCTTGTCAGAAAATCACCAGCATAGTCGACCACTCAGTGGCCTCTGGACCCTCGGTCTCAGAGTCACCTCAACTCTGTCTGCCTTTCAGAAATGTGGACTTTGTCTCAACATGTATGACCTTTGTCACGATGCCAGTTTGTTATCGGCAGGGTTGTTTCTTTAAGTTTGCCTGTTATTTCTTTTCCAATTACTCATGAAGAGTTGCTTGTGAAGATAGCCAAATAGAACGGAGCTGGATGTTCTTTGCAGATGTTGACAAGATAAATTACAACTGCTCAGAACTGGCCTCTGTTGGAAAGGGCACCTGAAGCTACAATTTCAAGTCCAAGTACTTTACTCAATGGTGCTGCTTCCCAAATAAATGCATCAGAACTCATTCTCCACATTCAGCAACAGTGCGGCTGGAGTTAACTAAAGACATTTCTGAATGCTTGTAGTCCTGTGACACTCACTGAAAACACAGCAAAATAATTTAATGGGTCTGTTTTGGGTTTTGAACAGCACATGATTTTGTTCATCTCAAGATTCACAGGGAAGAAGGGCTAAGCATTAGGTCCCATCTTGGGTAATTTGTGGAGCTCTGAAATTCAGTGGGAACTGCCCAGGGACATTTGACAATGGTCTCCCAGAACGTGCCAAGGAATAAAGCCACTAAACCTCGTCTGAACCCTCCCAGAGTTCCACTAATGCGGGTGGGTTCGATCTGTATTTCTCCCACATATACATGCGGAAACTTGAAAAACTCGTTTGAAGCAGATGATTAAGATAATTCTATTTACTAGTAATGTATGGATCTAGGGCAGGCTCGATTTTGTCGCTCTGATGGAGGACTGAAAAGGCAGGCCTTCCAAATTGACTCCTCAACACATCGCTAATACATTTTGTTTTGCTTAGCAGCTGCGTTCGGCTTTGTCCCTTCGCCCATTTCCTCCTTCATCTGTATTCATTAGAATTTAAAAGGAACATCCTGTATGTAATGAAGGCAGGTGAAGCCAGAGACGTGCCTTTTTTCCAAGAAGGAAGAAGGTAAAAGGATACAATTTTCTATCAACATAAACTCCTATTTATACATGTCTATGTCTAGCTATAGGCTAGGTGTTAGTGGGAATTGAACATCACGCTGGATCTTATGAATTTCATCGCCTGGGTTTTAAAAGTTCTATTCCTTCTTGTGTCAACACAGTGCTGTCTGGCAGTCTCTTTTAGGTATGCACTTGTTTAGTTCTGAGGTTAAAATACCGAAAATAGGGACGACCCCAAGAATGCACAGAGCATGGGCTTCCTTTAGTGCAAGTGGAAGTGACTGTAAATCCCTAAAAGGCACAAGAAGGAAAAGCCCGACAGAGAAAATACACTGTGATTGATTTTGGAGCGGGGGTGGGAGGGGGAAACAGAGAGAGAGAGAGAGATCTCTGTAAGTCGGTACAGAACAACAGTACAAGAGAACGGGTCTCCTGCGGGGTTGCAGCGCTGGCTTTACGTTTATTTTCCCCAAACCTCAACGCAACCCATGCAGCAGTTTTCTTAACAAAAATAAAAGGGAGATAGACAGTGGAGGGACACGTGTGGCACTGTCTGTAGGACGTGTTATGCTCCCTGTAAATTGAATCAAGGCTTGTAAGTCCTACACTATCTCATTCCCCCCCCTCCTAGATCTTTGACGGGAGTGTCTGGGGGGCACTCTTTATATTAGAAAGGAAATACTCAAAGTATGACTCTTTTAAAGACAGGACATGTATCATAATGCTCTTAGTGCTAAAAAGATAGTATATGGGATTTTTCCCCTTCATAGGTGTTTTTTTTAATATCAGTAGGAATTTTACATGCTCCTACCTTGTTTTGGGTTAGTAACCTCAAGGGAAGAAATATTCGGCCATATCCTATTAAGCTTTGAAGGATCTGCACGCACCAGGAAAAATCAGGGCATGTTATTTTCGGCTATCGTGGCAGTCAATGGACACAGAAAGTTATATGGACAGAGACACAAACCACACACCTGCTCTTCAACTTGGCTGTGATGCACTGAACAAAACGTGAGCCCGGCACCAAACGAGAGCAAGCAACTGATGACTCCCAAAACACTGAATGGACATTAAATACAGAGCCCCTTCCCTGACCAAGCTACCCGCATTCACTTTTTGCAGTCATTCGGTGCAAGAGTCTTCGGACACCTGACCAAACAGGGACGGCAGCACTTCCAGCCTCCTGTGACGCTGGGGCCTGAAGCCAGAAGATAACGCAGAAGAAATCATTTCTCACTTGAGGATCCCAGTCCAGTCTCCGCAATTTATATTTACAGATATGAACTGGCCGCATTCGTCTTTCCTGAGAGATTCTTTGGAGTATATTTTAAGTGTGAGCCATTATCTCTGCAAAGAAGTGGATTGATTTCCTGTTTTTATTTATGCAATTTCCCAGAGGGAGGGAGAGAGGGGTGACCAGTGGTTGCAGCTGAAGCAGAAGAGTCCCAGGAGCTTCTGATCACCTTTAAGGTTTGTCTGCCTGGGCGCGTGTATGTGTTCACGATGTTTTTTTAAAATTTGACATCCATTTCCAGAGCTGTTGGTTCCAATTCGGACATAATTATAAGCACTGGTAGTTTGAGAATTGATGTTATTTCTTGTTTAGAGTCACTGGTGTAGAAAACAGTAACTCCGGAAAAACAGAGCAGCCAGCATTAGAATCGGATGCTATCTAGAATGCTCTCTGCTAAGGTGCACAGGCCATATCTAATAAAGCACTCACTTTATGACTCAAAACCACCATCTGCTGAGGTCAGCTCAAAACCACTCCCGAGCGGTCCTTTGGGACTGGCCGGAGTCCAGAGGAAAGGTAGACTCCGGCAGCGGAGTACCACTGCCCAGGCCCCTGACTCCTTACTGCCCTGTGGATAAACGTGGGCTTTCGTATTGCCGGTTTGCATTTCACGGGTCTATGTCTCATCTCCGTAATCGGATTTGGTCTCTTTGAGGAAGGGCAAAGCCTTGCAGAAGGCCTCAGTACATATCCAGTAATCGAGTGATTGATACCATGCGGCGGGGCAACCGCAAACGGGTATTATTGGATTGTTTCCTCCATAATTAGATGACGGCGAATAACATTCTTGTAAGACATGGAAACTTTACCGTCGCTTTGGGTTTTTAATGTTTGTTAGAAAGCTGATACCCTGTTGCCGTAGCAGCTAAGAGGCTCTGTTGATGTTGCTGTATCTGTCCCCTTTATGAATGGGGGCTTTGGACCCCCCTGACTATCAGAGTGAAACCCAGACTGGAGTTGAGAAATTATTAGTGGGGTGAGGGGAGGGGTCACCATATGCGACCAATAGGATTGTAGATGGCCAGTCTCTCCTTAAGGACCGTGGCCCCCATATCCGGGAGAATGGAATGGACCGCTGACCCTGGGAGCATGGGAACCGCCGTGGCACATTCCACAACTGCCTCGAATTGAGCTGAAAAGCGAGCTTGAGGGAGATGGGCTCAAGACACACTTGATATCCAGAAAGATTCGCAGGTAGGGCTGTTTCAGAGTATTAGGTTGTCTTCCGTCATCCACAGCGTTTGCCTAGCACAAATCGTGGGCTGCTTTCGACTGACTCTGAGGACGCCCTCGAAAAGCAGAGTAAATTGTGACGGGCTTTCTGATCAGTTTTTTTCTAGAATAGTCTACTATGCAGTTTTTCATACTGTAGTAATTAACTACAGGAGAAGGCAACATCGAATGTCATGGTCGAATGCAAGGAGTCCTAGTTCAGACACCAGACGTTAAGTGGCCTGTCTGTCCCGGCTACTACCCAGGTGACTTAGCTCACTTAAGCCTTGGTGGCCTTATCTGCAAAATGATGTTGGAACAGGGCTCTTTAAGTTCCCTAGAAACCCTAGCTTTTACATAATTATTTAGCCCTAAAATGTGGAGGGAAAGAGGGAGCAGGCGTGTATATGGAAAGCCATGGCTGAGGGGACATCAGTGGGCCCTCACTCCACACACATCTCCCTGAAGTGCGTGGGGGGGGACGCCCAGCTGGAGGCCAAGTCACAGGGTCCCTTGAGTTTACACAGGGACTGTTGCTGCTTCTTTGGGGACGCAGAAACATTCCTTAAGCCTGCAAAGGAACCTTCAGACCCCTGAAGCTTTCCGGAAGAAATCCCTGTGTTTCTGCCTACTCTCAGAAACACAGCGTCACTCCCCTGGTTGGGGGGACACAGTTGGGGTGACCATGGTAGGTCTGTCCTTGGGATGTCCCACAACATTTCACTCTGCTGTAAGCAACTGTCTTGATTTCTTTTAAAATAAGGATTTCTACTGTCCTAGAGTACGGACATGGGTGTTTTATGATTTGCATAGCTTTATTTCACAAAGCACCCGTGACCTACGATATGTTTGACTTCCATGCCTCTCCCTCCCCGTCAGCAGCATGCTGGGGACGTCTGGTGCTGGGGGCTGACAGTCCCCACTCCCTCTCCTCAGACCTGGTGCTTATAGCTTCTGTTGATGACATTGTGAGGGACCAGAAAATGGTCTGCTGTTTTTACTCCGGGACACTCAAGTCCCCTGCACAGAAATAGGTCAATTCAGGGACCAACAGGCCTAAGGCACAGTGCACTGGGTTGGGGCAGAGTCCCAAATTCTAGAGTTTTCCTTCTACCCTCTTCTGCTTGGTCCAATGCCTTGAGCTGAGCTTTTGGATTACACTGGACAACTTACTTGGTTGATTCTGAGCCTCCCATTCAATACTTGTAAGTGGAATTCTGTAGACGAGTGGGAATATCTCCCCGTGGGTCTAAGGAGAAGCTCTAACTCTCCCCAGGAGGTGAGGCGGTTCATTGGCCAGCTCACCACTGATACCCCAAGGCAGGGATACCCACACTCTTAGGGTGCGGTTCCTAGTCACGCATTTGAAGACCCATTCTAGGATCTTTCAGAAAGGTCTTGGCAAATCTTGGCTTCAGCTAGGAATTTCCAGTTCCCCCCACTCCACAAAAATAACAGCAGAGCCTCAGATATCAGCTCACACTTAAAAAGTGGCTCAAGGTTCTAAATTCACCTGGGAAAACATTGGTACATGGAAAAGGTCCAGCTGTTCAAGGCGGGCAATTGTCAGCAATAAAGATCGCCAAACCTCTCGGATTCTTTTTGTAAACGGAGGGGATACTTTCCCCTCCTTCACTGAAATACTTGGTTTATTCTCCAGGATTCAGGAAGCAGCTATGTCCTAATGCTCATTCAGTTTTAGGATCACCACAAAGTTTCATGGACGTGAGATGCTAGTTACACAAATATGAAATGGGTCTGAGATGAGGATGCCGGGTACACGATAGAACAAAGCCCCTATGGCATTGCACCTGGGGCCTTCGCTTGCCTTCTAGAACATCAGCAAACAGTTCAAAATTAACGCAGCTCACCGTGCAATTTGTCTTGGAGCTACACAAGGCTCATCCTCTTCCCCCGCTCATTCTATAAAATCTAATTAGTTAAAGGGCAATTCAAAGGAAACTTTTATTGGGAAGATTTAGAAGTATTAAAGCAAAGGGAAAGACGCAAACCCTGCAGCTCTCTGGGTGGCAGGGGGACCCGGGGTGCGGGTGGGGGAGGGGGAGAACGGTCTGGTTATTTCCCTCACAATCTGCGTTTCCACGGTGGATCGGAGCCGGACAGAAACACCTGGGTGCTGCGTGGGGAGCAGCTTTGACAAGGTCTCCGATTCGCATCTAATGTTTCCCAGGATGAAAACATGTGTGCACGTTCCCTGAGGGCTGACGGGTCCCTGCAGGGGACACTGGGCTGGTTCCATGGTCTGCGAATTAAATCAAAGCAGAGATGAATGTTCAACTCTGTGGGGAAGGCAATGCTCATTATAAGAGAAAACAAGGAAGTGTGGGCTATTGCTTCCAACCGAGTAAGTTGGAGAGGAGGGGAGAGCAAACGCCCCTGTCCCTGCCCCTGCTTTGCATGCACGATGGGCGTCGGGCAGTGATTCAAGGAAGTCATGCATGCTTGGTTCACAAAATGTTTCTCTCTCTCTTCTTTCATGGCTCTTTAAAGAGAGACTGTGATGCATTACAAAATTCCAAGTTTTTTGAAATGGAGTTTTCTGCTGTGATCTTTCCTGGAAATGAGTGGTCTGCCTTTAGCTGTCGACTCATCTGCATCGGCACAAACCTGTCGGCACATCAGGCCAGTTCTCATGGCTCTGTTTATGTTCTTTATCTTATACTGTCTAACACAATTAGCGGAATCACTTGCTTTTCAGGACGAAGGATCAGAATATAGGTTAGAAGGTAATAATTAGTCGATCACTTTAACAAAGACACCCACACCAAACCAGCTATTAGTTTGGATCATCAGCATCGACAAATGTTTACTTGGATAAAATGGAGAATGTTTACTTCTAAGTGCATGATGCATTTTATTTAAAAAAAAAAAAGAAAAAAAAGAAGAAGAAGAAGAGGAAGAAACCCAAGTGAATTACTACTACATCAGATAACGAGAGGTCATAAGACTGAGACTCTACATATCCATTTGGGGATTCACTAATTTGGGGCTGACTGTATCATCAGTGTTTTCTCAGCCACAGCCAATGCACTTTGAGGGGATTCAGTTTTAAATCCACAGCCTTTGGCATGACCGGAAAGCCCAGTTCCTAATAGATAGACGTCAGCAGGTCCAAAGGACCTCAATGAGAAATCTGCTTCAAAAACTTTGAGCGGATGATGGGAAAGGATGACCACTCTGTCCCTACACTTGAACCTTACTTAATACAGACATTGACGGTTCGAGATCTATACTGAAACCTATTAGGGCTCCAAAATCATTAGTCACTGTATGTATGCGAACTTACGGTTACATACATCAGTCATTTACGTTGATGATAGACATCCTTCATTTCCCCTGTGATGCGCTTGGACGGGCTCTCCTGAGGGTTGTGTCTGTTGTAACAGCATCTTTCTAAGTACTTGGTGGAACTATGTTCATTGATTCCTTCTGTGGGATAAGGGAAAAGTCTTGGCCAAGCTGTGCACCTTGGACACGCCCTTCCTGTGCATCACAGAATGGGCAATGAGGCATAGATGCATGAATTCTTACTCTTTGAGAGGAAAGTCGCCCCCCAGGGCATCTCGGGAGCCCACAAAGAAGGAGTGTGTGAATGCCACAAAAGCAACCTGGAGACACACCATCGTGGTGGATGGCTTTATCATAAATCTCTTGACCTGAAAGCCAGGCAGTGGGCTAGCTCATCCTGTGTGATGTTGGGTGACCCCCAGAAGCCCTTATATCCCGTTTGCTGGAGAAATCTAAGCCACACCCACTTCCTCCAAGCAGACAGCCGGAGGTGTCAGGGAGGTGGGGTGCGAGCTATCACGTTGTTTGTTAAAAGGTTTTGGTTAGGTATGAAGGAACTCAGTTTCCCCAGGTTTCTGATAATAAAGGTTAATACGTTTTCCAAAGGCGCAACAGAGCATCCTTTTAGGTCACCAATGACTTCAAAATAAAACAGAGCACAATGACACTGGAATTTCCCGACTCAGTGTGTAAAAGGTCAACATCTGCTGATGCTCAGAGATGAGGCATGAGGTGGAGGCGGCCGGATGAGATGTCGGGTGAGCAGTACAGTTAGGGATCCATGCAGCACTAGACCGACACGCCCAACGGAGACACACGAAGCCGCCAGAGAACCACTTTCCACCCATCCATTTCTGAAACTTTGGGCAGCCGGCTGATCGCCCGCGCAGCCTCGGTAACCTGCCTCGGCTGGCTTCCTCCAGCTCCCTCTTGCTCTAAGACGCCCCTGCAAATGTGCCTGCAAGGCCTGAAAGGAGCATGTTGTGGGGATGTCTCTCCAGTTAGGTCAAGGCCAAGGGAGACACTGAAGCAGAAAATCAGACTCCTCAAGCTGAAGGTTTTCACGTGCTGTTTGTAGTACAGATGGAAAAGGGTTGCGGGAGCATGGGGCTATCTCTAGTGGGAGGAAATGCTACGGAGGTACTTCTGTTTATAAAGCCGCTGACGTTCACCGCACTTAACCCCTCCAGCGCTTAACCAATCTGCGGCCTGGCCTGCTCACAAGCTGAAGCAGACTGGGCTGATTTATAAATTGGAATGCTTGACGGTGCATCTATAAGACTTGGGAAGTTTTTTATCCAGATGATACTGAGCTGGATATTGGGGAGGGTCACGCTCCGGCTGCTACCCTGCAGTCCCATGTGTGCGGTGTGGCACAGCCCAGGCGACAAGCCTGTAACGGGGCGGTGGGCTGCACGGTGTAAGTTCTCCTCTTTGCTGACAGTATCTTGGCTGCCTCAGGATGTTCTTTCCAATCAGTTATTCAGCAGCCACACAACGGTGTTTGCCATTGGAAAGGGTGCAGTGCGTAAAAATGCGTGAGATTCTGCTCTGAGAAGTTCTGGGGCATTTCCTTAAGGAGCTGTTCAGGCTAATGTTGGGGCATCCCCGTTTGATAGGCAAAGAGGAAGAAGCCCCAGTCTGATTCTCTCCTAATGGCTGGAAACAGCTCTCTTTGAGACAGTGCTGGGCTAGCATTCCAAAGAGGGTAGAAAGGACACTTTCCTTTTCCATTTCCACCAGAAGGTTTCTCGCAGAAATTTCTAGGAGGCTGACTTAAATTCTGCACGTATTTTTTGTTATCTTCCTTCTCTAGCAAACGTAAACCTAAGTCATCAGAAGAACATGGACCCCTGTACTTCAGGAGGGACAAACAGACTGATCAGTTTTCTCCTTCCTTTCTCTGGAAAGACTAATGATCACAAACCTGCTTCTTTCAGGCCTTCACAAAGACTGAAGTTCACGTATTAATAAAATTCCCTCCCAGCACCCCGGTTTCGTGGTATTTTCCTTGGATTCTAATGAATACGCCTGGAGCATTCACTGGCATCTGGTTTCTGCTTTTCTAAATTATGGTAGAAACCCATACCCAGTCCCGGGGACAGAGTTCAATATGCCTGTTGGTTACTCAGTGTGGGCACGATAGGATTATTTTTATTTTTGCTCAATGAGCTGAGGTGCCCTGAATAATGGCACCTCTGTGAAGGTAGCTTTCATGGATCCAGAGGAGTCGGGAAAATCTCTTCCGCGCCTTGTCTAAACAAGAATTCTATGTGGATAGTCATTGTGCCTGACCTCATCACATCTGTGCAGAGGTCACAAGGACCTGATCCACCAAGGAAACACTCGTATCAGAAATGGATATTGGAAAACAGATCCGAGGGGCTGAACAACAAAGCAAAGCTAGGCTAGACTGGATTGGGTGACTGGCGTTTCTTTTTTTGTTTTGTTTTTTTACTTACTACCAATACTGGAAATACTGGGGATACCTAGAGAAAAAGAAAAAAAAAAGAAAAAAAAGCTGTTAGACAATTTATTAGGACATGACGTCTTGGACTCAGTGTAAAAAATCTCAGAGACGTAACATTTGCTAACATTCAGGTCACCTGGAGATAATCACAGAGAAAATAACATTTACACCCACCCATGGAAACCATTTTGCTTTTGGTGTAAAAGCCCAGAGCTCCTCAGAGTTAGGACGTGAAAGTTTGACTTCAACACCCGGCTCAGGACTGCTTCATGACATTGCACATTTTGTGTTCGCCCATAAGGTTATTAAACACTGCAAAAGAGACATTCAACTAGGCTCACGTTCTGGGCACAGAGAACCAAACAGACACAACATGGACCTCTGCAAAATACCCCCGTAACGCAACAGAGCCCTTTAAATGCGCTGTGAGAAGCTTGTGTGGGCTGACGAAAGTCATTTGGCATGTAATTTGATGAATCTCACATAAGCATCATTTTTTTACTCCTCTTTTACTTGTCACATATGTGGATTAAACTCTGTAATAGAAACTTAATTGAGCAGAATAATTCAAGAATACATTAAGTTGTTCCTATTGATCATGCACTTCATTGATTTTCCAGTTTCCGCTTAATTTCTTAGTGGTGCTAAGGTGGCGGGGCCATTTCCGAGCGCGCTGGACTTGGTAAGGCTGTGGGCGTGGACTTTGTGTGCATCCAGATGAACACTCCGGGCCAGGAGCAGGGGCACCTGGCTGTCTGCGTTGGGAGCTTCGCTCTTGCACTCACAGCCTGTGCGACCTGGGGGCGAGTTGCTGAGGTCCTCAGGGGCTCAGTTTCCTGCCTGTCGGTGTGGTTGCAGAGATTACAGAAATTGGCACATGGAAAGTGCTCGGCGCTTGGCTAAGGCAGGTAGTACGTGCCAGATCCGTCTTTGCTATGATGACCGCTCTCGATGTAGTTGGTGCATCAAGCAAGCAACCCGTGACAAAGACTGCTCATTAACAGTCAGAGATGTCTGGCTTCTCTGCTAATTTGGGTTGAGAGTACGAGATGGAAATTGGAAGGACTGACAGACTGCTGTGCCACCGGACAGCCGGGGGACTTCCGGGAAGTTCCCGGCTTCTCTGTGCCCGTTTGGTCGTCTGAACAAGGGCTGCAAAGGAGCTGCTGTGAGGACAGTGAGATAACCCATAAACACGTCTGACACATGGCGCCCAGTCAATAAGCGATTGCTGTTAATGAGCTATTCAGATGTGCTGGTCACATCACCGACACATTCTAACAGGTGGTAACTGTGGGAATCGTTGAACTCCTATTTTTGTCATTAGTTTTGAACAACTGCCCTCTGCTCATTTTAACTGATCCCTGTAGCTCACTCAGAGATTTCTAGCTTTGTGATGCTTTAAAACCAAGAGCCTTTTTCCTATTTCCTAGGAAGGTGCAGAGAAAGAGAAATTAAAGCTTCTAGTGGTTTAAAAAAAATAGGAATGAAATCCTATTTTCAGTTAGTAGATACATTCAAATCTCTCAACTGTCAATGCACAGGGTCTGAGGTGCTTCAGCTTAATTATCCATCACTGATCAACCCAGAACGGAAACCTAAAAGTTTCATGGCCATGTGTTAGCTCTGTCCTGTGAGCTGAAGTTCAAGCTGATTGCCAAGGTTACAAAGGGCTGTGAACTTCCTGACCCGGCACTTCGCAGCTTCCTCTGCTGCAGCACAACAGTAACTTGGTACTGAATCTTTTCTCTCTTTTTTTGCCTTTGCAAATCTCCTGTTGAGTAAGAAATGATGGCGGCATCGTAATTTTAGTATTAATGGCAGAGGCTCCAAATTTCCCCGTGATTGAAAAGCCCGCTCCACGGGCAGAAATGGCTTGCCTTTTGTAATCCGTCAAAGAGAATGGAAGTTAGGGTGGCAGGAAGAAGCTTTTTCATGTGTTTTCCAACTCACGGGGAACTAGAAGGCTATGCATAATGCAACGCCAAGTTCTCAGGGTGCTGGACTCCCTGCCGCGGGGAGCCAACCCCGTGATGAAATGCCTGCCGCAAGTGAAATCTTCGGAAACGGGCAGTGTTCCCGCTGCTTGGGGGGGGCTGGTGCAGGGGCCCCGCCCTCACCGCGGCTAGATAAACCTCCATTGACAAGGCTGTGATGAGATCCCATTTTCCTTATGAAGCTGTTCTCTATCACTTGACATTTTGGGTGCTTAAAATTCAGGTTCATCCTCACTTACGTGGGAATTTTTGGAGGTGCTACCAGGAAATCCACCTGCAAATCCACCACTGTCAGAGAGGAATTGCTTCGAGAAGATTTTTAAAAACTGCCCGTTGGAATAAAGATTTTTAAGTTTGAGAATCGCGGAATGCCAAGGGATGGCCACTGGTATATTTTCAAGTGTTTTTCCTAACGTTTCTCATTTAAGGTCCAAGCACCTGACAGCTACGGAACCGAATAACCCCATTCCATTAATGAAAAAAGCTACGAGTCAGCCATGAAACATCCTTCAAATGTGTAAGGAAAGAAGATAGGAAGGCTTGCACTCCTATCTTGAGAGTGGGTTTCTCTGGGGCCTGTGGGGGCCTGTGAGGGCCAAGCACAGTGACCCAGAGTCTGTCTACCTACAGTCACAGCGCCCGACAGCCACGGAAATGAGTCAGGAAAACCGATGAGACATGTGTTGGCTGCTTTTTTTATTTTAACATCCCTTCTGAAGTGACAACGATTATGTAATGAAGATAGAACTCAGGAGCACCTCTCTCCCTCCTTCACCTCCCTGGTGCGAGTCAGTGGTCCCCTGATCGCACGCCTCTGGCCAGGCCTCCCCGGGCTGCTTGTTTCACTTACTCTGTGACCGTGTTTGCCCGAGAGAGAAGAGGGGACAAGTGCCAGTCTCGTTCCTCTGTGTCTCTAGTATTTCCCCAGGTCACTTGATGTATGTTGCAGGGGAAAAAAAATCACTTGTTTCCAAGAAGGTGTCTTATCAGTGAAAATTCTCCTTTGGTCAGAGTAGGGTCTTGTCCCCTCAAAAACGCTCCCCTGAGATATTGCTCAGAGGTCAGAATCAGTGAATGTTTTTGTTCTTGGTGAATCTTTCCTCTGTCCTGATAGCAAGAGTGACACTATGTACACAGTGATGGCCTCACCACAAGGCCTTTCAAGAAACGCAGGCTCGGAGCTCAACTCGCTCCCTTGGGCAAAACTCATTTCACGTTGGGCTTATGTCGTTTCTGTTCTTTTTCTCACATCTTCCTTTTCAGTTCCTACTGGAATACCCTGATTTGCATTCTTCCGAAGCCATCCAGGGGCACATGCAGACTTTGTGGGAGCACTCGGTGAGGTACCTTAGAATAGGAGGTGACCCTAAAAGGGTCTGTGTGCCCAGGCACCTGGGAGTGCTTCCCTCCTCAACCAGCCCTCCCCATGCCCAAATTTATTTTAATTTTTTTTTACACAACTGCTTTTATTTCCAAATAAGAACTCATCTGTTTTCACAAGTCAGGTAATGTTTGTTTTAAAGGAATTCTGTGGCAATTAGGAGGATGAGAACCTAGAGGAATTCTATCTTTTTTTTTCTTCCTTTTCCCCTCAATTTTACTAACCCTCCCACCAAATAAATAGCTAAAGGGCATGCAGTTAGACTAAAGGACATCAAAGTGGTGGAGATCTCAAAAGTAACCGCCGTGTTCAGAAGAAGAAAGTAGGGCTCGCGACCACAGCTCCTTTGGGAGAATCAGCGAGAATCAGCGAGAATCATCGAGAGAGCAGTGGGAGGGACAAGGGCTCTGCCTGCTTCAAACCCGGAGGAAACATTACCCCTGTCCTGACAGATGGTTTGAATGAAAGCCCATCGGATAAGTGACCAGATGTTCTTCTGGCCCTGGAGCTGTAACTCCAAAAAGCCCAGCTGAAGAAGATGCAGGGGTTGAGAAGGAAAAGGAACGCACCCTGGTGCCTCTATCTCCAACGTCCTTCCAGCCCTGCTCCCTGGTCCAAAGGGCCGTGGACGGGAGGCACAGACCCTTCCAGGAACTTGAAGGTGAAGGAGAGAAGCCGGCTTTCACAGAATTATACAGGGAAAGCGTCATATAGACAATCCAATCAGAGATGGCTGAAGTCGTCTTATGAAAACCTAGACATATGTGAAGAATGGAAGAAAGAGGAGCATCCTGAGGCATCTGGCGGCAGGGTGGCCCAGCAGTGTCTCGGGAGGAGGGGTGGGTAACCTGGAAACTTGACCTTCACTGTTCGGTTGAGTTAAGGAGGCTGGCCCTATGGCCAGATGCAAGTGTCAGGATGCTTCAGCCTGATGGTCTTAGCGTCCAAGTCATTTAAATTTCCTGATCCCGTGCTTACCAAGCAACCTTCTGCTGATTATCTGGCTTTTCTCAAGGAGGCTTAGTTACAGGGAAGAGAGTACACTGGCCATGCGGACTTGAATGTTCTGAACACTGTAACAGTTATCGCTTATGGTGGGTGAGTGACTGGCATTTGCACACAGTTGATCTCCCCACAGAGCTGCTGTCTCCCAAAGGAGAATTTGCTGATCAGACTGGGATGGGATCTCAGTGAAATGACAGTGACGACAGCAGCTGACGTCACCTGTGCTGACCATGTGCCTGCCACGGTTCCCTACTCCTCACATGCGTGAATTTGTTTCATTTGTATGACAATGCTATGAGGTCAACACCCAGGTTCATTTCACAGGTGGGGGAAACCCAGACACAAAGAGCTTGCCCAAGGTCATCTCAGTGAGCTGGGGAAGACACCGGGGTTCAAAGGAAGGGGTGCTACCTGACACTCCACTGTGGGTGCTGCTGCCATGTAATATATGTACATTGCATTTCCCTTGAAAATGCTAGAAATTTTGAATTCCAAATCCCACCTGGCCCCATGAGCTTCGGGTAAGAGACTGCAGGCTGCTGGTTACACAGGAATGGGTTGGCATTCTGGTGTCAAAGACCGGGTCTGTGGTTTGGTTTGTACATCCAATGCCCTGCAAGGAAGGCCTGCTCTCAC